TGCTTCTCCGAGATATGTTCTTCGTGTGGCGAGGATTCGCATGAGCGATTGAGCTGTGAAGATGCTCGCATTCATAATAACCCCGCGGAGCAGGAACGATTGAGTGAGGCATGGCTTTTGCAGCAACGTGGTATCAAGAAATGCCCGACCTGCTCACGCCTCCTAGAGAAGACGGAAGGATGTAATCATATGACGTGCCCGTTCGTGTTCAATCCTTTCATTTGCTCGTTGAAGCTAACTAATCTTTCTAGATGCGGAGCTCATATTTGCTGGCGTTGCATGGGAGTCTTTGACGCCGGCAACATCTATGACCACATGGGTACGGTGCATGGAGGCATATATGCTGACGAGCCTGATCCGGTCCCGGCCCAACCTCAGGCTGCTGTACCACCGCCCCCAATTCCAGATGTGGATGTTTTTCAAGGCATCGATTACCTTGAACAGGTTCGAATTCTTAATGAGGCGGAAGCTCACCGCATTGCGGAAGAGAATATAAGGCAGCAAATGGCCGCTTTCCAAGCAAGGCTCACGGAACGACGAAGGCTAGAAGAGGCTGGGCGGGAGCGGGAGCTGAGGTTGGAACGAGAGGCCCAGTGGAGGATGCAACAAGCTGAACGCCAGAGAAGGGAGCAAGAAGAAGCTGATCGCTTGTATCGAGAGCAGGTCAATCGATGGCGCACAGACCAGACCAATAGAGCTCGACATGCTACGCTAGGGCAACAACTTGACAACGTTCGGCAACAGCAGCCTCCTCTAGCTCAGCCAACACGCCAAGACCAAGGATCATGGTGCGTGGTGATGTGAATAGGAAGTTCAGCTCCTTTGTGTAGTACATCAGAGGCTACGGTGATGTACTAACACTCTTGTTCTTGCTTCGGATACGACTGTAACTGATTCAATGTACTTATCTAATGCGTCCTACAATAAAGTGAATCATAGGGGGCTCCATCGGAATCGGAGTCGGAATCAGCACTATCCATCTGTCGCTCAAGTCAACCTCACAAATTTTTACCCAGCAAAAGAGTCCAGACATCGTGCAGTATTGAAACCTCGATAGACTACAGAACACATGAACCCGTCGCCACCCCGCAGGGGTCACTCCTCGACGTCCCGCAGAGTCCGAGTCGCACCTTACGCATACATCATCTCACTCATCCTCATTGCATTGATGCTCAGTTTCTCACTACCACGCCTTTCAACGAGGTCCCGAACGTGGGTAGTGCTGTACGTGGTGATCACCCAAGTCGCGTTGGGGTGGCGCATATTCGGGAGCAGCAGAAAAAGACTTGCCTGAACGAAGATCGCACCAGTCATTTCAATGTTCGGAAGTGCTCTAGAGGTGGTGTGTATACTTAAAGTTGTATCATTATGAAGCACCGAATTCGTATTTTGTGCACGCGACTGCGCTTGGGCCCTGTGAAACAACGACTCGACGCATGGACACCATTTCGTCTGGTTTGTCCTCTACAATGAACAAATAACCCTGTGGAGTTAATGGTTGTTCATTAGGGAATTTCAATCCTGCGGATTTCGTGTCGATTTTTTGTTATCCCAATGCGTCCTCCATCCCCTCTCCGACTCCTTGTATCCGATATGATTATATAGGCTGATCCCCAACGCATGACGCGCCGCGAATTATCATGCTATCACGTTCGCTGATACGCTCAAACCTTCCCTGCGGCACTATCGTCGCTCGCATTGCGACTCTGCCAGGGTAATAATCGATGCATGAGACTGAGCCATCGAGGTCGAGGATGGGGTGAATAATCTGCAGATAATGCGGGGGCAGTACGCTCATCAGGAATCCGCTCCTGACTCCAATCAGAAGCAACTCTCAACCATTGTAGCCCGAATACTCACCAACTCTTCATCAAACTCGCTTAAGAATGCATTCAATCCCGATGGCAAAACGAATATATTCCCTTTGCTGCGTTATTTCTTTTCCTGACAAGGCGATTCGTTGGATTCTATCAACAAAAGCCTGCTGATAGAAGAATACCATGCCTTCGTCTTCGAACAATCGTTGGAGCCTGCACCAACATCATCCCATACAGGAGCATCCCGCCAAACCCAGACAAGTGCCAGAATATTCTCCTTGATTCCTTTTTTACGATATTCGTCAAGAAGGTTTGAGTTGCCAACGGCTCGGATCGAGCACACAATAAAGCAGTTATCAGGTTCATGGAGATAGTTGATGTACTCTCGTTGTACCGAAGCATCGAGACGGGTTTCCGAGGAGTGTCCAAATGAGGAAAGATAGCCTTCAAGGATTTCTACTAGCAACGGACGATATTCACGATGTCCGAAATACTTCAAGACTCTCATGACGCGAAGGACACCGTACATTCCCGGGCTGCCATCGTGAAGAGCCTTGGTTATGATACTGCCTGCGCTCCATGAAACATAGGTTCCGGATTTATAATGATCGTACAAGAGATTAACTATCACCTCCAAAGATCTGGGCAGCAAGGTATGATATCGTGTATGAACCACATCGGAGTAAATCCTCAGGGCTTCGATGTACAGATAACCGGCTTCTACGGTAGGGATAAATTTCAGGTTATTCGTGATGAAGCGATCGGGGACATCAAAGACGGTAGCATCTGCCTCAGAAGGACGGAAGTCGTGATTCGAAATGAATTCAAACACTGTGGTGAGGGCGTGTAATTCCGCTGGCTGGATTTGCTTGTTTTCCTAAGGGAAGCCTGGAGATGAGAAATTCGGCAAAAACCCAGAAGAATTCGCAGAGATGGTTGAATGGGGATTTCTCATCTCCAGGCAAATACTGTAAACATATCCAGGAGATAGGCTGTCATGTCCGGATGTACTAGACAGTCGTACAGCATCGGGGAATGGAATAGCTGCCGTACTTTGTTGGACCACACTTGTTGTGGGGTCGAATTCGTTCTCTGAACGAGGCATCCAAAATGCGACAAGAACTGCACAGCATATATCTACTGCGAAGGGATCTTCGGTGCCGATATCAATGGGAGAGAAAATGTCGTTCGAAGTCGCATCTGTAATGAGGTCGATCCAGACCAAAGGATGGAAAACCCAACAGTCATCCTCGGAGGAACGAGCGAATGCCATAGCTCCGTTGTTTGCAAACTCTTTCATAAATAGGTTTCCCTCACGATAGTATCCCTTATATTTGTCTGTCAAGGCCTTAATGTTAGGTGAAGCTACGACATCTTCGGCCTGCGGGAGGTCAACGGCAACGTAGTTTTCGTCAGAAAAATGTAGCTTGCAGCGTAGTAATCGCTCAAGTTCGTCTCCAGGCCAGGCAGTGGTTTCCGTGCGCGGGCGACGGCCTAGAAAGACAGTCTACACGACTGCCATAATGGCAAGCCAATATCATTGAACGGGCCTTGAGCCTTGCTCTGCAATGCTGGATGTAAACCGCCAATAGCTTGAATGACGATACTCTGGACAATGGTGTTCGACGACATGGAAAAGACTCCACGTAGGGCCTCGACTGATAATTCACCCGATACTGATTGTGCTGCCTGTGACTCCCATTCTTTCAAACTCTTCCATTTTGGAACGTTGGAGGTAAACTCTCTCCAGTGAGTGTAATATGCATGTTTGTCTCAGACCGGCGGAAACGATACCTGAGGTGATGCACGGTGTACTGCATCATATGACTGTACAAGACGTGGAGAAAGTCACACGTATACGTAGCGGCTGTGATCGCGCCGACAACCCATGTAAGGGAATCTCGCAGCGGACCAAGGAAGATCACAAGGCCAACAAAGAAAATGGCAAGGGCGGTGTGCATCAGAGCAGGGGGCAGTCCGATGATAACGAGAACGCGCCATTTCTGCAGACCTGCGAATCGGAACTGTGGCAGAAAGCTACACCTCCGGATGGTAAAGCCATGTAGTGGCGGAGTCATTGCTTGACCAGTACCGAGACGAGTGCTGTCGTCAGGCTGAGTACAAGGCCGGTGAACCAAAGCCTATTTACACAGGTACTCGTGGTTGAAGAAATAAACGTGGTGTTGGGGTTAAGAGGGGAAGCAGCGACAGTGTCCAAGGAGGCGCCGCTTGCAATAGCACGCTGGATATTGATCATCTCGAAGAGCAGATTAGCAGATATCTCCGTGTAGTCTGCCTGTAGACTCTGCGACGTTTGGACGACGAAAGTAGTAACCACGGCTGAGAACAGACCCGCCTGGCAGAGCTGTCAATATGATAATTCGGAGAAAATGGACGACGTACGAAAACGAGCAGAACATCAACACCATCTCTCGATTCTTCAGCTATGTTCGCGTCATATATCGCGTGTTCATCGAGGTGCGTCCGAAATACCCTAGAGTTGGGACCCATTTCTTCACATGGAGCATCTTCAGGATACTTTCCCTCGTAGTTGAAAGAATCGTTTTCTGAACAAAACAAGATGAGAACGATTCATCAGTACACAAGTGTGATTTACCTTTGGGATGTTGGTAAGGAACATATCCTCGCAATCCAAACCTCTTGCTCGACTTGATAAAATGAGCATATCCAGGATACGGTTGACCTGTAGTGCCGTTCGCCTCCGCCTCGCCGATGTCGGATTTCGAATCCTTCGCTTTTGCTTCGGCAGTTGTGAGTACGGCATCGCCGGTAAGGGTATTGGTATTGGACATTTGTGGGCGAAGTGTAAGAGAGCGTAAGAGGCGAGGGTTCACTGTACAGCCATCAAGGCACCGACAATGGAACTGAGAGGATGAACAGGAACGAACTAGAACGTAGCCAAATTGAAAGCGCCCATCAGGATCGAGTACACCGGGAGGGACTTTCTACTCCTCTCCGCGTCCTACGAAAGTGCCGAGATAGACGTCCTTGTCCTTGTCCATCTTGCGTTGGAAGAGTTGGCGGCGAAGAAAGATTTATTGTTTCCTGGCACAGATTGGGAACCTTCGGCAAGATGAGAGTTGAGTTTGTGGAAAATTAGGCGTTACAGTCGATGCAGAGCAGTTTGTATTATAATTAACTTGGCAGCCACAACAGTTATGTGGGGACATAGCTCAGCTGGGAGAGCAACAGACTGAAGTAGAGTTAGTAGGTGTACAAACTTCTGGAGGTCCCCGGTTCAATCCCGGGTGTCCCCATCTTTTTGTAAGATCCTTGTGCCGACTCTGCCGAGGCCAAGGCCCAAGAACTTACAGCTAAAACCTTTCAAGCTCCAACTTCCAACTTTCAGTTTCATCTTTCGAGGCTCGAGCCGAGTCCCCGTCTTCCAACATATCGTACGGTGCAATACTCATAACTGCCCTGGGAGAGGGATCGCACCGCGCAGGTATTACCACCCCGCAAGCATTATAGAAATACCTGCGATCCCTCTCTACAACACCTACACACCGCCGCGATCACCACCACACACCACCGCCATACAGGCCACGCGCCTACGGGTCATCCAACGACCACCAACCCATCTCGCCCAAGCATATGCACCGCTCCAGCACCACTCTCCTTCATTCAACCCTCACTGTACACGATTTGTTTATATTCACACAGGAGTTACAGCAACCACAATAGTTTAGTTTGCACAACTGCCCTGGAGGCCTGTGCCCAGTGCCCGCTGAATTGACGTTCGGTTTTGGGAACTTTGCACGCGTCATCGATGACCGGTTCTTGCTCATCCATTTCACCTCTAGTCAATCTGGTTCAAATTGGTCCGGATATTCTTGGTTTTTCATAACTAAGAACGAAACAGAAACAAAAGCGAGCAGCCAGAAACGTCCTTTACCGCTAAGCATGACACTGGACTACATGTTACTACGTCTTGTATTGTATTTTCGTTGCCGGTGCTCTCTGTACGCAATCTGTATTTCTCCACCGAGGCGACTTGTAAGTTGAGACCGAAGTGAAACTATTCTGACCCGAGTGCTGTCCACGTCGACGTCGACGTCGGCTTGATTGCAATTTATACAATGACCAACGACAGTCGAGGGGGGGAACATCATCGTAGTAATCACGTAGAAGACCCCATTGCATGTACTTATACGGAGATCCCATTCTCCGACTTAATCAAGAATGTCAACGCCAGTGGTAAACTCCATAAAGTTTGCTTTGTCTCCGAAATTGATTGACATTGGCCTAGGTCTCAGCTAGTCATCGAAATCCTCGGGGAGAAGCTGAATCCAAGAAACGAATTGTGTATCCCTGAAAATGATAAGTGTCCATGTCACTCAGAGCCACTTCAACTCACGATCCGACTGTGTTCCTCCACCCTCCCGAAAGGGGTGGCGGCTTTGATTGCGGCTCGTGTGACGTATACCGGGGCTGATGAGACCAATAGGGCTCGTAGCTATCATCAAAAGAAGTATGTAAGTACATAGGCGTTGCCATGGCTGGCGGCTGATGCGGGAAGAAAGGCCGGGGAGGTTGCCGTGCACCGGGAGGCTGATGACGCCAATGCGAAGGTCCGAGTTTGACAGAGGTTGCAAAGTCATGGATATAGGCGTGTCTAGACAGTCCAGTTCGAGTGACTAGACACAGGTCACGGTCAAAATGACATGAAGGGATGGGTGAACTTACTGAGAATCAGATCATGGGGTTGTATGCCCAGTTCACCCGCGAGGGAGCGAGACTCTTGCATGAGGAAACGCCAAGCGTCCGCGGTATTGGCTATAGACTGTTCGTGAGTTATGTCACAGTCTATCTGCGCTCCCGGAGGGACCACTATCGGCCAGCTGAGAGAGATTCTATCAGCGATTACATTTAGTTTGTGGGAAAAGAAGTCTCACCATTGAATATCATCTGTCAAACTGAACGGGTTGACGGGTTGACGGGTCATCGGAAAGTCCTTCCAGCAGAATTGAGTACCATGACACGTTCTCTCAACGATAAACTCGGCAAAGTCGTCACGGAATGTGTTTCCTAAAAGTACAAAGTCCTTGAATGATTTACCCGACGCCGCCTGTCCTTTGTGTCGAGGAATATACCCGAAATCTCCCAATGAGAACCGACATGGAAGCACTCCTAAGTTTGTGCACCAGACATGGTCGTGAGATTTCGCGTCCAGGCTTGACAATCTCAGCTGACGAAGAGAAGGCGCTTGGCCCTTCATCAGAACATTGAATGGCTCATCTACGTCAATCAACAATGCCCTTGTCCGTTCGGGAAGGCCATGAGACTCCCGTGCTTTCGGAATAAACCCCTCGACCAATGCCGCGACATGATGGAGTCGCATAATCTCATCATCATCTAAGGATCAATATCCATAAACAACTGCTGGCAGTAACGACTATGAATAAGTGATACTCGCCAATCAACCCGTTTCTATTCAGTATCACCGAACCTCGGGGTGGCAAAAACTGTAAGAGGTCACGAGAACCGGTTCGAATTCATAGACCTTTTATAGCATTAAGTGAAACGCACCTTCATAGCAGCAGAGCCTATAGTATCTGCCAGGCTGTAATTTCTGGCGGTCACCCATGTGCCTTCCTTGGGCGGCGGGAGGCCCATGATTAAATTTTTACCCCCGTCTGCCGTGAAGGCCACACTCTGCACGTTATTCAGTGGTGAGCTTCAACCGGCACTTGCATAATGGAGGCGAACGGCCGAACCTCTATGACGTCTTGCACTTGTGAGTCGGTCAGCTCGAGCTGTCGTTGAAGGTATGCGGCGGCGTTCTATGGGGGCGCATGAAAAAAAATCAATAAGATCAAAATTAATCAAAAACAGTAGAGCGAACATGTCCGGAGAATAACTTACGGAAATGTCGACGTACTAAGTATACAGGCATAAATTCAATTTGAAGGTCTTCCGTCGGAGTAAAGTACTCACAAAATGCAGAACGGTGTTTATGCATCCAGCTAAGCCGAATTTATTGAGAGAATCGATCAGGAGATTCTCTGGAGATCGCCTTTGGACTGATAACGGTGAAATATTACCACCTATTCTCGCCACTTGAAAAAAATTCGTACCATGAGAAAGGATAACAAACGGCGTTCCAGCTTCATTTGCAGATACCCCGATCATTTGGGGTAGGTTTGGATGGCTATATGCATCCCAGCTTGATGTTAGTATAGCCACACATGTGCACGAGGGAGCCCGGGACTTGCTATAAATTTTGGAGGATCTTCACGTCATGAATCCACGCCTACAGAAGGACAACGTTAACCCGCAGCCAAATATGAAGCGAGAAATAGTATCCTCGCCTTAACAGCGCCGGCCTTGGTACCTTGATCGTACCTTCGGATAAGCGTAGGTTCCCCGTAGACGAGTGCTTCGTTCACGTCCGACCACCAGCCACTGGAAGTAGAAGCTCCAAATGAACCCTTCAAACGAACTTCTGACTGGTGATATCTTCGGAACTAGGAACAGGCAGTGTGAAGATATGGGAAAAGATGTGGCTGTTTATTCACTTACACCATGGTTGTCAAGGTCGTCGAGGGCGTATTGGAAGTCAGTCTGGACTATTTCTTCGGTTTCGGCTCTGTCGATTTCGTGATATGGTGGAGGCGTTGAAGAACGATGTGGCTTATGAGCGACGGTTTCAAGGGCGCGGCTGCCTTGTGCTTCTGTGACGAGCTTGGAATTGTGTTTCTGGGCGGACGCTTCGACTGTGTATTGGATATTGATGAGCGCTGCTATCTACGCCATGGGGTTATTGACATTACGAATCAGAGATGGGAAACATGCCTGAAACGCCTGTGATGCCTCGTCTAGCAGTTCGGCGTAGTCGTGTAACGCATTTTCAATCGAATTTTTGCGTAACAAACGGCTGCTCCATTTGGCTTGTGTCTCTTTTACCATGAAGGCGTGTATCATGGTCAGCGTCCTGCATAAAAGTGAGCCCGACGACCTCCCCTAAGACATGTGTATTAGGACGCACTCTTGAAGACGACTGATATTCTTCAGCAGCAACGGAGACGCAGATTCCCATCTTCCTTCCATCTGTTCGTTGATGTTGAATAAAATTCGAGCGCATTTGTGGACAAGGCGATGACAGGCTTCTTTGTTAGACTGGAAAACTGATTTAGACGTGTTACTCGGTACATAGATGCTGACGGCTCGACGAACTTGAACATCCTGGAAGTCTTTGAGATTCGTTGAGAAGAAGCCCTTCATAGAACACACACCTTGACTGTCTCCAATATTTTCTCCAAAATGGCGAAAGCAGCACACGCCGGAGGAAAGATGGCCATCGTCGACATCTCCTTGGTCAATCCTGATGATAGAATCGCAAAATTAAGCGCCGTGCTTGTACGCGCTATCACACGGATCTTTTTCAGGGCCATCTCAGCGGCAGCGAGTGAACCGTCGTGTGTCCGACTCTGGGAGCGCCCAGTCAAATGTGCTGTGTAGGAGACCACAGCTGTCGGAATTTCGGGAATGGTAACCCCCTGTCAAATGCCATTTGCAGTTCTGGGTCTGATGGAATGCGTGGGTATTTCTTGGTTTTCTCGGACGCGAAAGGAGAGAAGAGATGCTTAACAGTGCTTTGGACAGCTGGTGGGAATAGAACAGTAATAGCTACGAAGCAATCATCGTGCGGGCCGACATTTGTCTCCCACGATAATTATCATAGGCGACATTCGCAGCCGGAATGCTACTGTACAAGTTCGAATCTTTGTTTGCACTGATAACGAACGTTGAGTCGTTACGATAGCGTTCTGTATTTTCATTGGAGGAAGGAAGAAGGAAGTTTTATTACCCGACGGTGCTCAAGCTCCTCAACAGAAGCGTGCCAGATGATCGGGCCGAGGTCCGGTCTATCTGAGAGAAATGTAGATCGACTGTTACAGTTTACTTAGTCGCTTTGTGTCATTCGCAAACTCAACTTGAGGAAGCGTTCTCAGTTCTGTCTTTGCAGCGTTATGGACTTACAGGCGAGTGTCGGATGCGGCCTAGATCTGTGTTTACGATGTTGATATCGGACGATCTGGTGGATCAGAATTTACCACGAGAGATACCTATGAACAGTAGGGGCGTATAACCTTCGCCTGTTCAAGGATGCGCATTCTCGCACGGTAACGGGGTTGATTTCGACAGGAATACAACGAGGTCATGCCGAACCTGAGGACAGTCATTTCACGTTTTGGGCTCACCTGGTGATCAATTACCCTTGCTTGCGGCGCGGGATATGGTTGCTATCATCGGT